CCTGAAAAATATAATTGTATTCCCCCTGTTTAACTTTCTTCATTGAGTCAAAGGAGCTTATATTGAAATAGATGATAAAAGGAGTAGTTAAACAAATATTGGTAATGTGTTTCAGATTAAATTAAATTTAATTTAAATTTAAGTCATTCTTCATTCTGATAAATATTCAATGAGATAACTTCTTAAACTCAGAAAAAAATAGCTAAGAAGTATCCTTTTTTTAAATATAGTCATTGAAAACCTATAATATTCCAAATAGCAAGCTCTTTATGACGCAGGGATCAAAAAATGTCCTCTCTAGTTTTGTGATGGGCATAAACAAGTAATACAAAAATTATGATTCAAGACTAGTGTAGAGAAATCTCAATGTTAGTGTGAAAAAATAGGATGAGTATTTTTTTCATATAATGTTGGAAGCTAGTAGAAGAAGGTAGAGGATGACAAAACAGTTTCCCAGGAAAAAATGTGAATACAATTTGACAAGCTGAAACATAAAAGAGTGAACGGGATAATCACATGGAGAGCTGAAATATACAGTGTTAGAGCTGGTAAGACACTTGTTATGCATGTGATCAAATGACATTTAATTCCTGGAACCATAGATGGTTCCCTGAGCACTACCAGGATTCAACCCTACAGTGCCATGAGTACATTTAGTATGGCCCACCTTCCCTAATATAAAATTTTAAAAAACTAAACTCTAAATATATATATAGACATATTTAAATTATAAATCTATAATAGACTTTGGGCTGGAGCGATAGCACAGCGGGTAGGGCGTTTGCCTTACAAGCGGCCAACATGGCTGACCCGAGTTCGATTCCTCCGCCCCTCTCAGAGAGCCCGGCAAGCTACCGAGAGTATTCGATATGCCAGACACAGTAACAACAAAGTCTCCAATGGAGACGTTACTGGGCCCGCTCGAGCAAATCGATGATCAATGGGAGGGCCCTAATAGACTTTAGATTTTAAATATACTATATATAATGTATATGGTGTTTAAATTTATATTTGCATACCTGAAATTCTATTAACAGCTTTGTAAATCATAGTGCCTAAGTGAAAAATATAAATCAAGTTTATATAAATAATGCATATAGAAATAAAAACGATAAAATAAATATGAATGTAAATATATAATTTATATATAAATAAAAACAGTAAGGTAAAAAAGGGAAATGTATAGAATATTAAAAATCACGGAGTAAATTTAGAACCAAAAGTAATTTTATCTGAATGCATGATGAAACATATAGAATGCATAAACTATTTGACCAAAGAAAGGCCGGTCATAGGTAATGTATGAAGCCATATTGAATTGGGTTTTATTCAATTAAGTTATAATTTATTAATATTGTTTTCTGAGGGGTCTCCCCACCTGATACCCAGAGTACCTTATGGATCTTTTCAGTAATTTTCAGTCAACTGGGCCTAAGGGCAGTCTAAATGCTACCCAGGCCCTATGGTGCTGTATTACCAGGGCCAATCTCAAGGTGCTCAGGGGGCTCTAGGGATGTCCCAGCAATACTGAAGGACTATGTGGTACCAGACATTGAACTAATTGAACTAGCACCTGTCACATCCAAGTCTTATGTCCTAGCTCTGTGGTACCTGAATTTATTTTACAGGCAATGAGACTAATCACGTTATACAATACTCACAAGACTAATCAGGTTACAGAATACTCACATAATACTCACATAAGGAAAAATAGATTCTGACGGTTATGCATATTCTGATTTAATGAATCATAAGAAGGTGGGTTACAATAGCAACATGATTAAATTTTTAATTGTTCAGCACACTTTCTGTATCTCCATCATTTGAGACCTTTGATTTCAGTATATTGTTCTTGATGAAGAGAAACAATATGGTTTGGTGAATAAATCATCCCTGAAATCAATTACTGTATATTTTATTTTCAGTTTTACACTGTCTATATAACATTGAACAAGGGGTTTATTATTCATGCCATTTAAAAGCAAAGTCATTTCTATATATCCTCTTATAAAAATCAGTAATATGAAAAAATTTTATCATAGGTAACAATTTTCTGGGAACTTGACCACTGGAGATTTTTTTCTGCCATTTGGAAAAGTTTTATTTATTTTTAGATGTTTGGGATATATGTATTCTCAGAAGGATGTTAGAAACGGTGAACATTAAATGAAAGAATAAATAAACAACATGATCACTGCATTCTAAACTTTGCCATATTTCTTATAGACTTGCCCTTAACAAAACATTGTTCCTTCTTGTACTTCAAGTTCTTACTTATAAAATGAGTATAAGCTTTAATGTCTTCATTCTTAAAAACTGGAAGACTATATTGCAAATTTGAGTATGAGACATGAAAATAATCCTTAACCGTGAAGATCAGAAAGATATTATTAACTCTACAAAGAAGTGGCTAATTAGTGGGAGTCAACGTTGTGAATACCAACCACTGAGTTTAATTCGGATTCAATGGTTCCAACCAAGAGGTCTTATCAGTTAGTATTATGTAGGGAATTGTACACATAATAGGAATCATCCTGATACTCTATCCTGGTAAGTTGCCCAAGCACCATCAGCATATCCAAACAGATACATGCTACAGAGTCCCTAGACAAATCTAAAAATTCAGAACCTTTTCTTTTTGGATTCCTTCATGCTCTCTTGTCATCTTCCCACTTGCTGACATCCTTTCTCAGGAATAACATAAGCAACTGAAAATCATAAAAATAAGGAAGAAAAATTGCAACAAAACAAAAAATTCTGCTCTTTTAATCAGTGTATAACTTCCATGATGATGAAGTTTGTAAGTAATTCACTTCCCACTTAAGCCTACCAATATGAAATCTTACGTTGCCATCCAGAACACTAATGAAGGAAGCCAGACAACAATACAGCTAGCCCCTGGGGACTCATTTCTCACATCACCAAAAAGTAATTTCCATCATTTTCAACCATCTGGTATCCTGGATTGTAAATATTAAGTTTCTTTGAAGTAGTGCTTCAGGACATGTGCATTGGAGTCAGCCTAGATTCAAATATATTTTCTTTTCATCTAGACCTATCTATATCTCAGTGTACCAAGTTAGTATATAATATCCTTACACTAAGGGGTATTGAGATCATTCTCATATTGTCTTATGCATAGGGTCTTACAAGGGTAAGTGTTAGGTTAGCCACAATTGCTAATGGTGGTGGTGTTGCTAGAACTAATAATATTTTATAATGTATACTTTTAATTTTTTTTATAATGTATACTTTTAATTTTTTTTAAGATTAAGTGATTATACTTTTGATAAATATATATATAAATAACAAGTATAAAGAACTGTATATTTTATAGATATTTTATAATGTAAATGAATACATAATATTTTAATATAATGTCTACAACACTATGAAATAGTTTCATTCATTCAGTTTATAAACTATAGAGTACATCATTTCTGTCACACACCAAGATGATATTTAGAAGCATGCTATTGTAGGTTAACCAAGAGATTCTATATATGGCTAGATTAAAAGGTACTAATAAAAAAAATAAATAATTGCTTTAATGTTTTACCAGATATATTTATTGAGGAATTACAACCATATATATAATGGATTTATTTGTCTTAGGCAAGAGTGGACGGAAATTGGGGGCTTCCCCCTAGCAACATTCAGCCAACCAGTCTTCAATGCTAGGGCACAGTGATGCGGTGTGTCTCTTAGGCCTAGCCATGCTGGTCGCCCCCAGACTCATCCGTATAGTGCTCAGAGATGACCTAGACTATATCAGGGGCGTGTTTAGAATGGGGAAGGTCATTCAGTACCAGATGTCAAACGAGGGGCCTTACATGCACCCCTGACCCATAAACTACCTCCTTGACTACCTTACTGGGTATGTTAATAGCGAAACGAAAACAAGTCATACTAGATTATTGCTTTTCATTTCCTGTTATTTGGGGAAAAGATACATACACATTACACAAGCGAAAGGAAATAATGTAGACAGCACTGTGACAAATAAATGTTTGTTTTTAATATCTATAAGTGGTCTGTACTCTTTAATATCCAAATTAGACCCGTTCTAATAAAAGACAACTACGATATTTTCTGTATACGACCCTGTGTTCATTTTTTGGATGGGGCCACACCCAGAGATGCTCAGGGGTTACTTTTGGCTCTGAACTTAGGACTCTTTCCTGATCTTGCATTAGCGCCTACATGGGATGCTGGGGATTGAACCCCCGTTGGCCATGTGCAAGGCGAGTGCCTTATCCACTGTACTATCTCTTTGGCCCCTTTTGTGTTTTTACAACACTGGGTCATAAGGAGGCAATTCACACCTTGTAGTGAAACTCATGTTTTTCTTTATTTGTGGGAGAGGCTGGGAGACATGTTTCAGTCACACTCTGTGGCATCAGGGGCTATTGTAACACCCACACCTTTCATCTGGTTTCTGAATTTTAAAGGAAGTTACAAGGGAGCTTGGCTCTTAGCACAAGATTTCAAGTCACTTAAGTCGTAAAAGCACTTAACTCAAAATTTCCACTTATACTTACCTTCAGGGCTGGAGTGATAGCACAGTGGTAGGGTGTTTGCCCTGCACCCGGCTGGCCTGCCCGTGATGGGTTCGATTCCTCTGCCCCTCTCGGAGAGCCCGGCAAGCTACCAAGAGTATCTTGCCCGCCCAGCAAAGCCTGGCAAGCTACCCATGACATATTGGATATGCCAAGCACAGTAATAAGTCTCACAATGAAGACGTTACTGGGCCCGCTCAAGCAAATCGATGAACAACAGGAGAACAGTGCTATACTTACCTACACCATTGTACCACTGTAGCACTGTCCTCCCATTGTTCATCGATTTGCTCAAGCAGGCACCATTAACGTCTCCATTGTGAGACTTGTTGCTTCCGTTTTTGGCATATCAAATATGCCTCAGGGAGCTTTATCTACACCAATGGAACACATTTCCTTGTACTGATATTATTACACATTCTACTTGTTTTGTCTTTCCAGTTCCACCAAAGATCTCTAACATCTCCTCGGATGTCACTGTGAATGAGGGCAGCAACGTGACCCTGGTCTGCATGGCAAATGGCCGTCCTGAGCCTGTTATCACCTGGAGACACCTTACACCGACTGGTAAGCAACCTGCAGTCGCAGGATACACGCAGTTTTACAAACATGTCCTCGGCTATTGATATTTCACTGAATCCTAAAGTCAAGTTTATAGCTTATTATTAAAATGCTAATGGCGATAGAGGATTAATTTAGGATTCGCCTAGTCGTTTTTTGTGTGTCTATCTCTATAAATTCTGTGTACTAACTACAGATACAGATTTTATTTACTTCTCATTAGAACAACTCTCCAAAGTAACAAAAGACTAATACTATGTCTAAAATGCATTTTTGTTTGAAGCTTAATTGTCTAGGAGCAATGTTTTCATGGTGTAGTTTATGTAGTTCTTTGTATATCTTTTGTTTATCATTGTCTTTAATTATTAGTCTTCTAATACCTAGTACAAACTAATATTCTATGTAGCACTTTGTGAACAATCGGGAATAATAGAAAGTTGTGAATCCTGATATCTTGCTCTTAGTAATTAACAATGTAAAGGTGTTATAGACTAAAGTATATGAAGTCATTAGAGCCTATTATTGAAACTAGATCAGTAAAAGCCAGAAAATAATTTCCCAGGAATGTCTTCTGAATCCCCTCTTTCCCCTACCTACCTACTTACGTCATTCTAACAGTCATGTTCAATACCCTGTTTCTTTTAAAGCTTCATTTAAATATCCCACCAATTATTTTGGAATGATATATACTTCATATATTCTTCACTGCTCTGTAGTTTTTTTAAACATGCAGTAACTTTTTCCACAAATGACACTATATTTGTGGATAATTAACCTTATATTTTTTAATAAAACATTTTTTAGAAAGATATTTCTATACTAGTTATTCTTTCAAGATATCATTGATTTTGGGTAGTCTCCAACTCTTAACTTCTTTACATAAGATATTTTTTTTGTTTTATACTTCCAGAAGTTTTGTAAAAAATATACATTTTGGTATGTGTACAATGAAAATACGTATAGCCAAATATGCATGAATACACAGAGTTATACTTAAAAGATTGGGGTATTATTTACTTATAGTATTTTTAAAAATCTCTATATTTGGTGGGGCGAAAATATGGGTTTTGTTTTATATTAGTCTCAAATTAATTTTTCAGTTGAAATTTGGTCCACCTATGGAATTCTCTCTGTCTCTGTTTGTCTGTCTGTCTCTTTCTCTCTCTCTCTCTCTCTCTCTCTCTCTCTCTCTCTCTCTCTCTCTCTTTCTGTATCTCTGGTTTTTGGGCCACACTTGACAATGGTTAAGGCTTACTTCTGGCTGTGCACTTAGGGATCACTTCTTGCTCACTCCTGAGGCTCAGGGGATGTGTGCCAGAAATTGAATCCAGCTGGCTGAGTACAGGACAAGTACCTTACCTGCTATATCTCTTCACTCATGAACTTGTCTCTTATTTAAGCAACTTTACTTATTAAAGGTGTATTTCTTCAAATTTCACTCCAAAGCAGGCTTATGATTAATACGTATTGCTTTGTCATTCACTGGTAATATATAATGTAATACAGAGGCACTTTGAAGATCAACCTCAAACTCATTTCCTATCAGCCCCATTTTTTACATCACATAAGAAAAAATTTATGGAGGATTGTCTAAAGTGTGAACTCTAGATATCATACACAATTCTCTTTAATTAAATTAAACCGCCAAAGATTACATGGAATTATAGTATTCTTCATTCCCACACCACTTACTCTTGACTCAAATAGATTTGCATTTACTGAATGACTGTTTAGTATAAAAGTTATTGAAACATATTTAAGATTTTATCAGAGATCATCTAAAGTCATTACATTTATTGCAATAAAGTTTTTGAGATTTTAATTTCATTAGTATCCTTTTGAAATGGTCATTTGAGGAATTGGTTTTCCAATTCTCTATTCTCTTCTAAATTTTCTTTTTAATGAATTAAATAAGTAATTTTATATGTTATACATATGACTTGTATATGACATAATTAATATACTGACATTAGAAAACAGAACCAAATGTTTAACCATTACATAAAAAATATAAAAATCATGCATAACTGTACCTTTATAAAATAGAATTTAAGCAAACTATAATAACTTCATCTCATCTTTTTTAATGTCTTTAAGTTATTTTGTAATAATTTAAATGTCTATATGAAATATAGTTTATAATAATTCTATTTGTACAAGTACTAGATAAAAGAACAGAAGATAGAAAAATATAAGTTATATTCAAGTTATAATCAGTAAATTATCAGCATTAATTGAAAAGACAAATATCTTTATGTTTACTGGAAAATAGTAGAATTTTTATTTGTGTTTAAGAAAATAATGATATTATTCTTATGAACCCCAAGATACATTTTATTTTATAATTTAAGTTCTAAACATTTCTGAGATACTTAGTTTAGAGCTTCTCCATGCTTAGGTAAGAGTTTAGATCTGCTTGGTTAACTAATAAACTTTCTAATTTTAATGTACGTCTGATTTAAATCCTGAATAAACATGTTGTAACTTATGGTTATGAAAGAGAAGTGAGAGCATATCCTCTTGAGAAAAAGCAGCTCTCATGTGCACTCAGAGAAACAATCCTATTTATTGCCAGATCAGCTGGGAATCAGTTTTATAATCAAACCACAGGTGTACAATCATACTACATGTGTGTGCAAAATTCATTCTGTCCCGATTCATATTGCCTACATGATAAGAGTTGCTTTCAAATTGTAAAATTACTTTGATAATATGCCACACATGTTGAACATTCAAATTTCAGTGTCCATAAATAAAGTTTAATTAAAGTACAGTTATAATAATTCATTTAAATATTGTCGAAGACTGTTTTGGGTCTAAAACAGCAGTCTAAAGTAATAGAGAGGGGCTGGAGTAATAGCACAGCGAGTAGGGCGTTTGCCTTGCATGCGGCCGACCTGGGTTCGATTCCCAGCATCCCATATCATCCCCTGAGCACTGCCAGGAGTAATTCCTGAGTGTAGAACCAGGAGCAACCCCTAAACACCGCCGGTGTGACCCCCCCAAAAAAACAAAGTAATAGAGATGGCTTATTAAAATATTTTCTAGCTGACCGTTAACAGAAAAGTTTAGAGATCTCTGAACCAGAGTTTGGTTGGGGCACCAGAGTCCCAAGGTTCATTGCTTGGGACTCAGGACCTAGATATCCCCTTGGGATTTAGCGGCATCCTTCATCACAATACCAAAGACACCTCAAGGGAAAGAACTTTATTCTCCTATAATCCTCTAGTATCTCTCTGTGGGTCAAATTCTATTCTGGTAAAGGCAAAACTAGCTCCCTGCTGCATTCACAGACTCAAAGACTGACTCCAATTCTTTCTTACAATGGGTATTAATTCCCAAGACTACACTTTCATCTCTTTTACATCTGACCTAAATAGCCACCTGATCATAATCATATTTCTGATAACAGGAGAGAAAAATCTGATTTTCTCTGTTCTATAAAGAAAACGAGACTTTTGGGGGGAGATGGGTTGTGAGTTTTTCTCCCTCTCTTTCAAAATTTGGAAATGGGAGATGATTCCTTTCAACCTCTAACATGAATCCTTTCTTAAATATGCCCAAAGAAGAGAATTCGTTCCCTATGTGACAGCAAAGCTGACTGCAACCCTTAGCCAAGAGAAGGGGAAAAAAAAAAAGAAAAAGCCAAGCTGGCTTTGTTCAATTATTAATTGTACCTTCAACAGGACAGAGTGTGACTGCCTTACAGAGGAAATGTACCTGTAATTAGCTCGACCCCACAGGGCCGTAGAGCCCGAAAGGGGAAAGATGCCAGGAAGATTCACAGGTACCTGATTACTTGTCATTTGAAGGCATGGCAGGGGGAAGGAAAAGGGTGTAAGATATATTTTTAGAAAATAAAGAATATTTATTACCTTTCCCTCGGTTCTTTTTCATTTATTTTTAGTTGGATCATTTTATTTTCTCTTCATTTTGACATTTAAAATCACCAGCAAATGTTTTTAAAGAGGGAAATTGGAGGAGCGGTGAATCTTTCATTGATTGATACAAAATCAAAATACCCACCTATCTTGCAGAAGCCATTGATGCCTTTCTTTTTTCCCCCTTTTTACTTGAGGGGTGGTAGGGGTTGTGTGAGCATACTTGCTGTGCTCAGGACTTATTTGTTCTGGCTCAGTGCTCAGGGATCACTCCTGGAAGTACTTGAAGGGTAATATGCAGTGTCAGGGATGGAACCCAGGTTGGCTGCATGCAGGGCAAGCACCCAACCCTGTATTATCTTTTTGTACCTAGGTTTTCCTTTCTTATATTTCTGATTTCTTTCATTTTTCTCCTTTTCAGTTGTTCTATGTAGCTAAAATGATGTGTGACATATGTTTTCATTAAAGGTGACCTATTTTCTACCTTAATTAAGTTATACGTTCAAGTGAGTTTCCAAGAGAAAGCATGGGCACGAGTGGGTGTTGGGCGGCCAGATCAAGGAGATGGATGGACGAAGCACCTGGGAACAGAGAAACAGGGCCCAGGGCTGGTTGGTAGTAGGAAATTTCTCTCTCCTCCCCAGCATAGTCTGACCTCTCCCTTGTATCATAATCATAGCCGTAGTTTTGGTTTTGGTCTCCCAGTCATCATAGTTCCATCAACGTAGTCTTCTTGTAGCCCTCAAAGTCCTCTCCTTGTTCCCTCTTTCTCCTTACAGCATAATTATATAGAAATCATGAAGGGTGGGGTACACATAGGTGGGGTTAAACATTGTCATAACAACAAGCAATCAGCACCAGGAGGATTACTCCATAACTTAGAGGCCAGCCGGGTATCCTAGAGGAAAGGGCTGTTTAGATAGAGAAGGGAGCACCAAATAAAGGATGTTTGGAGGATCCTCCCAGGAGGGGAGATGCATGTCGAAAGTAGACTATGGACTGAACATGTTTGCCACTCAATGCCTCTTTTGCAGACCACAACACCCAAAAGGAGAGAGAGAACACAGGGGATTGCCCTGCCACAGAGACAGGGGGGATGGGGGTATGGGGGTGGGAGGGATATTA